TAAGAATGTTAGCGATATTGCCGCATCTTCCGAGGAGAGGGTCAAGTGCCACCTTCACAAGAAGCCGAAGGCCGGCTGTAAGTTCTGCGCGAAGCACCAGGACCGGGATGAGGAGATGAGCCAAGTGTCGGTAAGCAAATCTCGCCTTGGCGCTGAGAGCACGATGAGCTTTCGTGTGAAGAGTGTTTCCTGGACGGGGCTGGAGGGGGAGCCATTTTCGGGGGGGGTCAGGGAGGATTCCGCCAACGAGTAATCCGGTACAATCGGGCGGCAGAAGATCGGCGGCAGCCAGCAGAAGCAGACGCAAGCCCCGAGGGGGGTCTACGGCGGGGCACCCGTGGCTTCCGCAGGCGGCCTCTCGGAGGACGAGCACACGAGAAGCGAGCACAGCAGCGACGGCCCCTGGGCCGGGTAAGGAGCCTTGGGGGCCGAGATCAAGGAAAAACGCTTGCATCGACAAGTCATGTCGTCGGAGATCTGGTGGGGGGAGAGGAGGAGGAGGAGGAGGAGGAGGAGGAGGAGGAGGAGGAGGAGGAGGGAGGAGGAGGAGGAGGAGGAGGAGGAGGAGACGAGGACGAGGACGAGGAGGACAGAGGAGGGACGAGGACGAGGAGGTGGAGGAGGAGGAGGAGGAGGAGGAGGAGGAGGATGGAGGTGGAGGAGGAGGAGGAGGAGGAGGAGGAGGAGGAGGAGGAGGAGGAGGAGGAGGAGGAGGAGGAGGAGGAGGAGGAGCAGCAGCAGGAGGAGGAGGAGGAGGAAGGGGAGGAGGAGGGGAGGTAGATGTGGAGGTGGAGGCGGAGGAGGAGGATGACGACGAGGAGGACGGAGAAGAGGAGGAGGAGGAGGAGCAGGAGGAGGAGGAGTAGGGGAGGAGGAGGAGGAGGAGGAGGAGGAGGAGGAGGTGGACGACGAGGACGATGAAGGAGGAGGAGGAGGAGGAGGAGGAGGAGGAGGGGAGGAGGAGAGGAGGAAGTGGACAAGGACGAACATGAGGACGAGGAGGAGGTGGAGGTGGACCACAAGGAGGACGAGCAGGAGGAGGAAGAGTAGAGGAGGAGGACGACGAGGAGGAGGAGGAGGAGGAGGAGGAGGCCCGGGCTGGGAGTGCGGGTGATCGCCCGCACGCGTGGCGCACGGCGCAGCGTGGCCGCGGCGCGGCCCCCATCCGCGCGCGCAAGCGGCCCCGCGCGAGGCCGCGCGCGGGGGCCCTCCTCCTCCTCCTCCTCCTCCTCTCTCTCCTCCTCCTCCTCCTCCTCCTCCTCCTCCTCCTCCGCCTCCCTCTGCGCTCCTACTCGCTCCTCCTCGCCTCTCGCCCCTCCTCTTCGCTCCTCCTCCTCGCTCGTCCTGGCTCCTCCTCTTCCCTAGCCCCCTCGCCCCTTACCGGAGGCCGCGGCCTCCCGCCGGCCATGCCCGCCCGCGGCTCTCTCCCGTCGGCCATCTCCGGGCGGTGTGCCGCGACAGCGGCTTGCGTGCAGCCGGCCCGAGGGCTGAGAAAAATCATAGCCCTGGATGGGTACCCTCGAGCCTCGAACCCTCGTTCCTCGAGCGGAGGGATACCCTCCGGAGCCGTTGTTGCTGTTGTTGTTGTATGTTGTGTTGTTGTTGCTGGTGTTGTTGTTGTTGTTGTTGTTGTTGTTGTTGTTGTTGTTGTTGTTGTTGTTGTTGTTGTTGTTGTTGTTGTTGTTGTTGTTGTTGTCGTCGTTGTCGTTGTCGTTGTCGTTGCTGTTGCTGATGCTGTTGCTGTTGCTGTTGCTGTTGCTGTTGCTGGTGCTGCTGTTGTTGACGAGCTTGAAGTATCCAACATGTTTTATTGTTGGGCAGCCAATCCGCCCTGACGCTCTTGCCTCGGCGCCGGCTGCATTTTCTTTGAACATCGGAGTCACGCTCGGGCGTTTCGGAGGACCGCTGAAGCGTCCCCCCAACAACAACAGCGCGCCCCCTCGAGACTTCCTGCTCTCCTACTCGGGGCCTGGGCTCTTGCTTGCCACTGCAAGCCGGCTTTCCAACGCAGCCTGCGCTCCCGCCCGATGCTTCCCGCGAGCTTTTGCTCGGGGTTGGCGCGCTCCCGCCTCGGCGCCGCAGGCGGCCCCCGTCCTGCAAGCAACGACGCGCCAGCTCGATGCTTCCTCCGCTTCTGTTCGAGACTCCCGGAGGCACTGCGGGTTCCTCATCGGAGATCGACCGGCCTCCTACTGCCCTGACGCGTCGATAAGAGAATTGGCCGTTTTCGGTTCGCGGGAGGGCGTCGCGGCCATCATTTTTGAGGGCCCAGGTCCGTCGGCTCGGGTCCTAGGTCATTTCCATCAGATTGAGGTTTGCTACAGGGAGGTTTGTCCACCGCCGACCTTAGTCCAGGTTGAACCTTCATGATGATTTGGAAGTTTTTATTGTTGGACACCCTACATCCGCCCTGACGCTCTCGCATCGGCGCCGGCTGCGTTTCCTCCGAAAGTTGGGGTCGCGCTCGGGCGTTTCGGGGGGCCGCCGAAGCGGACACCCCAGCAACAACAACGCTCCAGCTCGATACTTCCTTCCTTGTTACTCACAAGCTGTGCCCTTGCTCGCCGCGGAAAGCCAGCTTTCCAACATTTCCGGCGCTCCCGTTCGATTCTTGTTATAGTCTCTTCAGGACCGGCGCTCCCGCCTCGTCGTCGTGGCCGCTGTCGTCGTCGTGGCCGCTGTCGTGGTCGTCGTCGTCGATGTCGTGGCCGACGCCGCCGCCGCTGTCGTGGTCGTCGTCGTCGTCGTCGTCGTCGTCGTCGTCGTCGTCGTCGTCGATGTCAACGTCAACGTCGTCGTCCGTCTCTTCCTCCTCCTCCTCCTTTTTCTCCTCCTCCTCCTCCTCCTCCTCCTCCGCCTCCTCCTCCTCTTCCTCCTCGTCTCCTCCCCACTCCCTTGCCCCCTCCTCTCTCACCGTCGTTGTCGTCGTCCTCGTCCTCGTCCTCGTTGTCGTCGTCGCGTCGTCGTCGTCCTCGTCGTCGTCTTCGTCGTCGTCGTCGGCGTCGGCGTCCGTAGCCACTTTGGCTCAAGGGAGCCGGCCCGCGGGAGGCCCGCGCACGGCGTGCGCCCCCCGCGGCGCGCTGGGGCGCGCGCGCGTGGCCTTCGGAGCGACGGCGGCCAGGAGGCGCTGCACGACAAGAGGTGGGCGGCGGCGAGCGCGCGGACATGGGCGGGGCGCCTGCGCCGGGGGAGGCGGGCGCAGCGGGGGCTCACGCGCGCGGCGGCGCTGGCTCACTGCGCCGCGGGAGTCCGGCGGGCGCCGAGCGCGCAGTGGCAGCCGGCGGGCCTCGCGCGCGCCCCCCGCCCCGCCATGGGAGCCGAGCTGGCGGCGGCGCGCCTGCTCGTGATCGGGGCGCCCGTCATCGAGAGGCGCGGAGGAGGCGTTCGACGAGGGCCACTGTGCGAGGCATGCGCCGCCGCCTGCTCCCGCAGGCACGGTGCGGCCTGACCCCGACGGCCTCGAGGCGGCAGTGTTCGAGCGCTTCCTGGCAGGCGCAAGCACGCCGCTCCGAGGGGAGGCCGTGGCGTTCGCGCCCCAGGCGGGGCACGGCGCGGGCGAGGTCGTCGGCGCGAGCGGCGGCGACGAGGAGTAGGAGGAGCCGACGGTGGACAAGCTGCTCGTGGCCCTCCGGGCGCAGTGCAACAAGCGCGCTGGCAAGGGCGAGGTGGTGGAGGAGTCGGAGGAGAGCGAGCTAGACGAGGACGCGCTGCAGGTCAAGGAGGAGATCGAGATCGCGGCGGCGCAGAAGGAGTCGGAGGAGGGCTGCAAGTTCGACGGCGACGACGGCGGCGAGCCCGACGAGAGCATGTCGTGCGGGGAGCTGGAAGTCTAGTCGGGTATCGAGCTTGGGAGCGACTTCGACGAGCCGGAGGAGATCTGCCAGTCCGACGGCGACGACATCGGCGAAAGGGCCGAGGACATCTCGTGCGAGCTGGGCGCCGCGTTGGAGAGCGAGTTCGAGAGCGACTTCGACGAGGAATTGGAGGAGAGCGAGAGCATGTATAGGGATGGACGCGAGCTGCTTCGCAGCGGCACAGGTGGAGAGGAACGCCGCCGGAGCTGCGAAGCTGAACGCGGGCCTTCACCGAGATGCGCGCCATCGAGAGGGCAGGATCGGCGATCTGCTTGCAGGCCAGGCGGGAGAGGAGCCCTGCGAGGAGGCGAGGCTCGCCGGGGCTGCGGAGCCGAACGCAGAGCTCCAAGAGGCGCGCGCCGCCATCGAGAGTGCAGGACCACCGCAAGGCGGGAGGGACCCGAGGGAGGAGGCCAGCCAGGAGGCCCTGCTCGCCAGAGGTGCGGAGGCCTTGGCGGAGGTCGCTGGGGCCGTCGACGCCAGGGGCGAGGGCGAGGGCAGGCGGACGGGGAAGTCCGCGGAGGCGGAGGCAGGGGCACGGGGCTGGCCTGACGAGGGCAAGGGCGGCGCCCCTGAGGGGGCCCGATGGCGGCGGGTCCGGGGTTCGCCGGGGAGGCCCCCCCCCTTGTCACGCGGCGCCTCCGCCCCGAGCTCCATCTCGGCGTGCGGAGGGGTCGGAAGCCGGTGCGGGCTGGTTGAAGGGCACTGGGCGAAGGGCGCGCGCGAGATTCTGCCCCGCGACCACGTGCGTTGCCCGGCGCGGGTGGGACCGCCCGCGCCGCCGTCGAAGCACGTCGTCGTCGTCCTCGTCGTCGTCGTCGTCGTCGACGCTGTCGTCGTCGTCGTTGTCGTCGTCATCGTCGTCGTCGTTCTCCTCCTCCTTCTGCTCTTCCTCCTCCTCCTCCTCCTCCTCCTCCTTCCTTTCCTCCTCCTCTTCCTCCTCTTCCTCCTCATCCGCCTTCTTCTCCCATGGTTTTCTCTCTTCCTTGCTCCTCCTCCTGCTCACTCCTCTTCCTTCCCAAAAAATAAAAAAATGCCTTGAGGCCTCCTTACAGAGGCCCCGAAGCGCCCCAGCTCAGCTTCGAAGCGTCTCCCAAGGGAGTACAGGTCTCCAGCAAGGGCTCTGAAGTTTCTCTGAGAGGCTTTTGGGGCTTTCCAAGGAGTTCGGGAGGCTCGCCTAGGGGTTCCGGAGGCTCTCCCAAAGGATGCGTGGTCTCTCAAAGCTTTTTGGACCATTTAGGCGTGGTGCAACCTGGAAACAAGGACAGGGCAGGACGATTGCGGAGGCGATGTACGATCCGTGTTGGAGGTGTTGAAGTTCTTCGGAAGTGGTGTTGTCAAGATTTCCTCGGGCGGGAGATCTGGGTAAGGGACTTGAATAAGAAAATCGTCATGAGGTAGGGGATATCATGATTGATGCACGCTGCATACAGAAACATGGAGCACCCCGGTAAGCATTATTATTGCTTTGTTGAGTTTTCATTCGTGAAGAATCATTCGCGCTGGTGCCCCTCATCGATGCACTTTGTGTTTCTTCAATTGATGTTCCCCCCCTCGGAGCTCCCACCCTGTTTCTTTATCCTGAAAGGTCTTCGTGGTCAAGCTGCGTGGGTGGGGCCCCGTGCTACAAAAATGGCTCCCGCCTGGTACTTCATCATAACCTATTCCAAAGTTGCACCTCGCGCGAGACGTCCTCACACATGATGCAGACATTGCGCTCTCGCGTGAGGTTCCTTCGCAGTTTCTTCAAACGCGGCGCCGAGGACACTCAGGAATCACGCTCTCGTCCTGGCCTGTGTCACGATTTACTTCGGAATCGCGCTATCGCTCGAGACTTCCTCGCGAATCATGCAGGACTCACGCTTCAGCAACCCGCCTGCTCGACCTGGCCGTCTGGGCCCGCCTTCCCGACCCGCCTGCCAGGGTGTGCCCGCCCGAACTACCCGTCTGCTTCGGCCAGGTGTTTTCTGCTCCTAGCCCCCGCTCTGCTAATTTTCATCGTGCTCTATCCTGTCCCCTCCCTCTTCCATTCGTCCTCTCCACCCTTGTTTCAGAGGCTGTGCCAAATACGCGTGGCAGGTAAGGAAGACGTACCACCAAAGGGGTACGATCGAACACGAAGAGCGCGGGTACCGAGGGTTTGTGATATACGTGTCGAATGGCAGGCGCGAGCAGATAGGAGCGAGCAGTCTCAACATTGTTGCTGTTGCCGTTTTTGCTGCTGTTGTTGTTGAAAAACTGGGGGCCGCCAACAAGGTCTGGGTCTCAATATTTCCCATGGTGGAAATGTCGGTGCGAGACCCGGGGGGGGGGCGGAGCACTTCAATTGAGAAAGTAGAGCGGGCACCGGCGAGGGGCGCCCGCAGTTATTTTTATCCTACATGAGAATTCCATTCTGGCCAGCGCGGGCCCCAAACAATGTGCTCTTGCAACTTATGCGGTGCAGCAAGCTACGTGGTGCAATTTAGGTGTTGCTGTCCATGTGGTGCAATCTCTGTTGCGCAAAGCACTGCAACGCATTGCGATTGCACTGCAACGCAATGCGATTGCAATGCAATGCAATGTGGTTGCAACGCAATGCAATGTGATTGCGATGCAACCCAATGCAATGCTATGCAACTCTATGCGATTGCAACGCAATGGGATTGCAATGCAACGGGGGTAACGGGTGCAACGAGGCGGCGGTGACGGACGGGAATTGGGCCGCCAGACCCGCAAGCGGGCCTTCTCCGAGGAAACATGATGCGGCGACGGGCAGGAACGGGACCGCCAGGCCGCCAGCGGGCCCTGTTCCTCCGCATGGAAGCAGGGAGCCCTCAGTGCAGGCACTGCTCCGGGAACAGGCGAGCCAGAGCCTCGAGCCGTCCGTGCAGCCACTCCCCCAATGTCCCTTCGGGCCTCGTGGGGGCCCGAAGGACGCTCCGCCTGCCCCCCTGCCTGGCTCTCCTCAGCGCCTCCTCGTGCACCCTCCCGTGCTCGGCCCAGCGCCTCCTTCACGTGGGGCGTCCCAGAAGAGGGCCGTCAAAGCTTCGGCGGGCGGCCGCGCCATGGGCGGCGCAGACCGCCTCGCGCTGCGCAGAAAAGAAGACACGACGGGAGGTGTCTCGCTTTCTGTCGGCCTCCAGGGGCTCTCCCTGGGGCCTTGCGGGACCGTCAAGAAGCGGCTCAGGACGTAAAATACAAAAACCAAAACACACACACACACACACACACACACACACACACACACACACACACACACACACACACACACACACACAAAAAAAAAAAACGGCTCAGGATGACAGGTCGGTCCCGGGGAGGGGTCGGCGTTGCGACGAAGTCGCGGTTGTCGGGGGTCTGGCGAGGGCGCAGGGCCCGCGGCGCGGCCCCTCCTCGGCAGGCCGGTGGCTGCTGCTCTCCTCTGCGATGGCGTGGCCGCCAGGCGGGGCGGCCGGCGTGGGCAGTGCGCAGGGGACATGCCGGGGCGGCGCGTGGGCGCAGTGGTTGGGCGTTGCGTGATGGGGGGGTCCTAAATGGAGGGGTGGCGAGGGTGGTCCGAGAAGGTGCCCAAACGGTACCTGAACGAGGCCCCTGGGGCTCCGGAGGGGCCCGAAAGGGGCAGCAAAGGGGACCGTTTCTGACCCCCCCATTCATGCCCCCCCCCATTAAGCCACACCCAAAGAAGGTTCCAAGGAGAGCGCGGGGCTCCAGCGGTCGTCGGTGCGCCTGCATTGCGCCACCCTCCTCGGCCAGCTCGTAGGCCGGTCCGTGGGCGTGGCCCACGTCATGCGTCAGTGGTGCAAAGATGGGGTTCCCTCCTCCTCCTCCTCCTCCTCCTCCTCCTCCTCCTCCTCCTCCATCTCCGCCTCCTCCTCCTCCACCAGGTCCTAAGGACGAGGTGCTTCATAGAAAGAAAACATGCCCTTGGATCCCTTCCTCTGCTTAGGCCCCTATCCCTCAGGACCCCAGCCTGGAGCCACCGAGTGCGCCCTCAGGGGCTGTCCCGCGCGCCGACGACTCCGCCAACGATGGGCGCTAAAACTGCCCACCACCATGTCTATGGAGTGGGCTCGGGGCATGGCCACTGAGGAGGCTCTTGCGAGCCATCGGCCCTCCGACGTGCCTGTCCTCGTCAGCGTGCTCTTGCTGCTGCCCGTGGGTAGGGCTATGCGCAGTGATGTAGGCTTCCTGGGTCTCTTTTGCCCGCGCGAGGTTGCCTACTATCTCGGTCGAGCCAGGCGGAAGGAGACCATGAATTGGGTCTTCACAGCGGTGTCTGCAGGCATGGCGCTCCGCGTAGCGAACGTCGCGGTTTTCAACCAAGGCGCCCGGCCCTGGTGGTGGGCGATGGCGATGCGACCAGCCGCCAGCGCGCCCTGCCAGCCCGGAAAGCGAAACAAAACAACCAAATGTTGCTTGGTTTGTGTTGCTGCTTCTCGTGTTTTGCTCCGGGACACACAGAAATCCTTTATTTTTCTTTTTGTTGTGTTGCTTGTTATTTTGTTGTGTTGTGCCGGATTTCTCCATTTTTGCGTGGCAAAACAAAGAAAACAACCTCGAGCCGCGATGCGCCTGCCGCGGGGGCGGCAGCACGGGCCCCGCGCCGCATAGGACGCCATGGAGGCGGCCCAGAAGAAGCCCGAGCCGGCCAAGCCCGAGCGCCGGAGGGGGCGCAGGATCGACCGGGCGATCTCCGAGGACCCCGACCTCGAGACCGTCGGCTGGGAGTGCGAGTGACCTGTCGCCGGAGTGGCCTTTGGTGCGGGCACGGATGGGCCCCCAGATGGCTGAAAGAGAAGCGGTAGCAGCGGCTTGCGCGCTTTTTTTTTCACCCACCCGCGGTCACAAGAAGCCGCGCACCAAAGGTCATTCTCACCCAGGGGTCGCTCCTTGCGTGCAGCCGAGATCGAGCAGTGGCGACGCGTCCCAGCGTGCCTACAGGTCCACTAAAGACATGTTCTACGAACCTGTTGTGGTCTGCGCGAAAGGTTATGAGAAGAGTTCTGGCCGACACCGCTTTGCTTTGGCACGTCAAGTTCCTGTTCGAAGAGCATCGATATTGTTCTTGATGCGTTTTGGGTTATGAGAACATCTCGTGGTAGGCCTCTAGGAATGTCGGGACAGCTGGTCTTTGCTCAACGAGAGCCGCCGCCGCCAGCGGGTGCCGCCGCCGCCACTGTATTCGTCGCCGGCGTTGTCGTTGTCGTTGTCGTCGTCGTCGTCGTCGTCGTCGTCGTCGTCGTCGTCGGTCATGGGTCGTAGGTCGTGGGTCGCGGTTGTCGTCGCTATTGTCATCGTCGTCGACGGCCGCTGTCGCCGCCTGGTGGTTGTCGTTGTCGCCGCCTCTTCCGTCTACCAGACCTGCCGTGGTTGTCATCGTTGTCGTTTTTTCCGGCTGCCGCCACCGCCGTTATAGCCGTTGTCGTCGTCGGGATCTTCGTCGTCGGTGGGCGGGCGGGCGGGCGGACGGCGGCGGGCGGTTGCGGGCGGCGGAGGCAGCGATTCGGCGGCGACGACGGCGGTGTCGGGGACGGGCGACGACGGCGTCGACGGCGGCGGCGGCGGCGCACTTACGGCGCCGACGGCGGCTGCGCCACCGACGCCGTCGTCATGGTCGTTGTCGACCCCGCCGCTGTCGCCGTGGGAGAGGGTGGAGGAGGAGGGGGAGGGAGAGGAGAGAACAAAGCGTGGGAGGAAGCAGGACGGAGGAAGGAGGCGGGAGGCGGAAGGTGGAGACGGCGGTGAAGGAGCGGCAGAAAAAGAGGAATGAACACGAGGAAGAGAAAAAGGAGAAGGACGACGACGACAACGTGGCGGAAGGGGACAGGAGGAGGTGGGATCAGAGGAGGTTGCCTCCTATTGATATTTTCCCCGCTCTCCTCCTCCTCTTCCTCCTTTTGCTCCTCCGCCTCCTCCTCCTCGTCCTCCTCCTCCTCCTCCTCCACCTCCTCCTCCTCCTCTTCCCCCTCCTCCTCCTTTTCCTCCTCCTCTTCCTCCTCCTCTTCCTCCTCCTCCTCCTCCTCCTCCTCCTCCTCTTCTTCCTCCTAGCCGGCGATGGGATTCAGGCAAATTGAGCCCCGACGGAGGGAATATTTTCTTTCACCCCTCGCACGACTTACGGACACTAACAGCCACACAGGTTGTTTTGCGGGGGCCAAGGGAGGAGAAGAAGGAACAACAAAACATAGATATCACTGAAGCCCTTCCGAAACCGCACCTCTTTGCACTCTAGAGTGACTGGGTCATGATCTGGTAATGGACATTTCTTGGGCCGCATCTATCCAATCTTCGATGGAACATTTGAGTGTGACCTTAAAAAACGACGAGCCAATGGCGCAGAGAACGGAGCCGCCGCACCCATGCTCGGAAGTGCCAGCCTGTCAACATTACAGTATGTGAGCAGTTGGTTGCACACGCCCCGGGAACCTCTGCTTGCTGGACAACTTCGGCAGAAAAGGGAGAGAGCGCAGGTGCCGCCGCCACAGGGCGCGCAAATGGGTGCCGACATCGAGGTGGACAACAACGACGGCGAGAGGGGCGGGCAGACGGCAGCGGCCCCCTCTCCCCTCTCTGCGTCCCGCGGGGCCCAGGGGGAAGAGCTGCCAGGGGAGTTTGCAGAGCCGCCTCGGTTCCCCTCAGCACCTGCGCCCGCTTGGGTCCAGGAGCAGCCTGCCCCTACGACAAGCGAGTCCAATCGTTCGGCACAGCTGTTCCACAGCAAAGACGAACAACTGCCCAAATGGAATTCGATCGGCCCTGCTTCGCACTCGCTTGTGCGCCAGCGAGCAAAGTTGGACGACACGAGCCCGAGGGGACTTGGAGGCCCCGAGGTTCGGAAGCAGCCCGCGGGTGCCGATGAAGAATTTCAAAATCCATAACCGAACCAGAGTACGTGGAAATGTTGCCCCGGGAGATCGAAACGCGACTGAATCAATGGAACCCGATCGGCCCTGCGTTGCACTCGTCTGTTCGCCGGAGGACGAAGTTGGAGGAACTGCGAAATCCCATGGGCGCCTGCGGTGAGACGGACGAGAAGGAGGTCTGGAGAGATGGGGCCAACCCAATTATTTGGAAATGTTGTCCCCGGAGATCGACTCGTTCGCCCGCCGGAGATTGAAGGAGGTCTGGGAAGATGGAGGCCCCGAGGTGCAGAGGCAGCTGGCTGGTGCCGATGACGAACTCCGAAAAGCCATGCACCTCAATGATGACCCTGAGATCGCAGCGCTTCTGGGATTCTTCAGTTCTACAGCGACCCACGATGGAATCACGAAGGGCGTCTTACAAACACTGCGCCCGGAAGGGGGGATGACCATTGGTGGAGAATTTGCTGAAGTGCGAATTAGTTCGTTTGCTTCGCAAAGTGATTGCGCAGGCGCGGAGGAGGCGGAGAAGGAGTAGGACACCGAGGCGAAAGGACCGGCAACATTTCCCCACGGGGACTCCCTCTGACCTCTAGCGGTTGAAGACACAGTTGTTGAAGGGTTTGTGATCGACGGTCGGACGCGGAAGCGCAGCGGAAGAATGTTTGACGGCATCTACGACATGATGTGGAGCACGATCGGCAGTTTTTTCCACTGGTGAACTGCGGCACCAATTTGCCAACAGGGGCACAAACCCTACTTCACAGAAGTGGAATGCGCTCGTTCGGAAAGGGAAAGCATTTGAGTTCTTGCCAGGTTGGGAGACAAGCGCGCAACTGCCGCCACGTGAAGACTAAAGCGCAAGCCAATGTGCACACCTAAGTCGGAGACAAATACACACGCGAAGCCACTGATCGTGCGAATTTCAGCACGTGCCGCATGTCATCCCAGATGTTCTGACTTGGCGAGCGTGACCTCGCAGTAAACGACAAGGCGAAATGACGGGCGAGACGGCGCGAGGTGAAGTCAACCAGAGCAGGGGCTGCGCATTTCTGAGCGCGTTTGGCGCGGGGGAGAGCATTTGTCTTGGCGCGGGAAGCGCCGGTCGCACTAGCAAGGGCATCTCGGTGTGCATGGCCCCCCCTCTCTCCTCTTCCTCGGTCCTGTTCTCCGTAGGGTGCTGAGAGGACTTTGGCTCGAGAACGAATGGGGGGCTCAGTCTTCTTGCGCAGGCCCGCTCGCACGCGCCACTGGCAACGCAGTGCCAGCGGCGCCGCGCCCCTTGGTTTCATCGGGGAGCTACTGACTGGTAATACAGGGCCCCCTGCGAACGGGCCGCAGGCTCGCCTGTGGTGGAGGAGGGGGGGAGGTGAGGGCTTGGGGCGAGGAGGGCAGCGTGCGCGCCTCTGCGCAGGCCTTGGCAGCTCCCTCGATAAGATGCCGAAAGGGCTGTCGAGTCCTTGCTGCGTAACACTCACGCAGGGAAATTACGCATGCGCCCTACACTGCACCTTAGCGGGCGCATTGACGCTGACTTCCTCATGCGGATGTCCTGTCCTGTCCTGTCTTCCTCCTCCTCCTCCTTCTCCTCCTCCTCCTCCTCCTCCTCCTCCTCCTCCTCCCCTTCCTCTCTTCCTCCTCCTCCCCCTTCCGTCCCCTACCCTTTAATCGTTGACCCCTTCTCTACCAGTCTGGAGGCGCGACGCTGCGAAGACGGCCCCGAAACAAAAATGGTTACAACCAAGACGCTGACAGACGGATCCCTGCGGGTCCAAAGGGGGATTTGTGGGTTCGGGCTGCTTTCGAGATTGAAGCCGTGGCACCTACTTGTGGTCAAGGCCTTTCGTAGCCCAACAAAAAGCCCCTCCGCTCCGTACTCAGCGTCCCTGATGGTAACCACCCGGTCACTCCGCACTGTCCGCTTGCGGTCAACTTCAGGTCTCGAGCACAGGACCCTTAGAATCGGTCCGTTCTGGGCATGGCTGTCGCGCTTCCCGCCTCCTGGGTCCAAGGGTGCCCCTGATTCCGCGGTCAGGAAACATGCATATCCACGGGCTCGCGGGTTGGACTCCCGGGCCGAGGCCCCATGGATGCACGGCGTGTTGTTCACGGATGCTTCGCGAGGAACGTATCCATGCGGCGGCGTGTCCACGGACTCGCGCCCCGCAGTCCAGACGTGGATACATTCGCGGATTCCGCTCGTGATGAGTGGACGTGTGCCAGGCGCCCTGCATGTGGATATCTTCGGGCCCCCTGGGGCTCCAAATCCACCGGCCGCCGGGGCAAGGGGACGTCGGTTCCTGGGCGGTGGATCTGTATGGATCCCCGCCTCGCACAGAAATTTCTCCGGACAGCTGGAGGCCTTCTGAGCCTTCTGAGAAGCCCCTCCCCTGCGGCCTTCCCCCTGGGCTCGCCGCCACTTGACCGCCACAGGACCGCGACGACCGGCGCGGCCCCCTTGAGCTCGCCAACCCGAAGACCTTCGGCCTGAGCGGGCTCCTGCAGACGCACATCGTGGAGACTGGTGGCCCTTGGCGGCCTGGGCGTCGTCGTCGTCGTCGTCGTCGTTATCGTCGTCGTCGTCGTCGTCGTCGTCGTCGATGGTCCCCGGGTCCCTCCAGGGGGGCTTTGGCCTGCCAGGGATAGCCCGTCGTCTCGGACCAGACACGCCACCGCTACCAAGAAACGGGCGTTCTTCGGAGCGGTCCGCAGTGTGGCGACGAGGCTGGGAGGCACACCAGGTAAAAGCGGGGTAGACGAGCAAGTCCACGATTCTCCAGCCCAGTAGTGCCACTGATGACACCCCCGTGCGCCTGGGTCCGCTCAGGGGAGGCCCGCTGGTTTCCGACATCGCCGTCGCCGCCAGGTATGCCAACGACCGGGGCAATCGCTGGTGGTACGGCCCCTCCCCTTGAAGGAACGGAGAGAGGAGGGGAGGAGGAGGCTGAGTCGTGGAACTGTCGCCTGTCGCCGTTCCTCCCGCTCCGGCTGGCACCGCCGTCGCCGGACTCATCGGCAGCGCGCGGAACGGTGCGGGCGCTCCCAGACAGCGTTCGTTGAGGCGCGCCAGTGCGAGGGCCTCCTGAGGCCCTCAACGCTCCAGGACAAGGCTGGAATCCGTCGAGCTGCTCGCGGTCGTGCTGCTGGGATCTGCTGCGCTGCTGGAGTTCGACCCGCTGCTCCAATCCTCCTGCTGGAGTCCGTAATGCTGCTCGCGATGGTGCTGCTGGAGTCCGCCATGCTGCTGCCAGTCGTGATGCTGGAGTCCGTAATGCGGCTCGCAGTGGTGTTGCTGGAGTCCGTCGTGCTGCGCATGGTGGTTTCGTTGGGGTCCGTCGTGCTGCTCGCGCTCGTCCTGCTAGGGCCCATCGTGCTGCCCGCGGCGCTGACGCTGGAGCCTGTCTTGCTGCTGGCACTCGTGCTGCTGGACGCCGCCGTGCCGTTCTCGCGGCGGCTTACGTATGTGCATTTAGATATTAGGACGAGGATGTTGGTGCTGGTGTTCCCAGCTGCGCTGGCGAGGGCGATAACGACTGCGGTCCAGGCCGTGTCGACGGGGGTGATGGCGACGCTGCTCTCGGCTTTGCTTGTGAGGATGCTGGCGTCGGAGCTCCCCAGCGGTGGTCACGAGGGTGCTGTCGTTGGTGGTGACGCGGACGCTGGTGTCGGTGCTCCTGGCGGCAATGGCGAAGACGTTGACATCGCAGCTTCGGACTGCGATGGCTGAAGATGCTGACGTTAGAGATCTCGGCTGCGGTGGCGGGGATGCTGTCGTCGGTACTCCTGGCTGCGCTGGCGAATCTCCTGGCGGCGGCGCTCCTTGACGAGCTGGCGAGGATGCTGATGTCGGTGCTCCACGCTGCGCTGGCAAGTGCAGTGGCATCGGTGCTCCCCGCTGTGCTACCCAGGATGCTGCCACGGTGGCCTGGGCTGCGTTGACGGGGAGGCTGGCGTCGGTGATCCAGGCTCTGCTGACGAGGATGCTGGCGTCAGCGCTCTCGTTTGCGCTGGCGAGGACGGTGGCGTCGGTGCTCCAGGCTGCGATGGCGACAACGCTGGCGCCCGTGCTGTTGGCTTTAGATGCGATGCTGGTGGCCGCGCCGGCGAAGATGCTGCCGTTGGTGTTCCAAGCTGCGTTGGTGAGGAGCTAACGCCAGACATCCAGGATGTGCCGACTTCGGCGCTCCCGGTTTCTGGCGACGACGCTGGCGTCGGCGCTCCCGATCGTGCTGGCGAGGGTGCTGGCGTCGGTGATCCAGGCTGTGCTGCTAGGGATGCTGGCGTCGGTGATTTTGGCTGCGCTGGCGAGGATGCTGACGTTGAGGCTCCCCGCTGTGCTGGCGAGGATGCTGACGTCGGCGCTCCCAGGTGCGCTGGCAAGGATGCTGGCATGGCTGACCCAGGCGGTGCTGAGGATGGTGGCGTCGGTGCTCCCAGTTGTGCTGGCGAAGATGCTGGTTTCGGTGCTCAAGGCTGCGCTGGCGACGATTCTGGCGTTGGTACTCCTGGCTGTGCTGGCGAGGATGCTGACATCGATGCTCCCGAGCGCGCGGGCGATGATGCTAACGATGGAGGTCCCGGCTGTACTGCCTGGGAGACCGGGGTCGGTGATCCAGGCTATGCTGCCGAGTTTGCTGGCGCAGTTCTCACTTGAGCCGGCGAGGATGCTGACGCCTGTGCCCCCTGGTGTGCTGGCGAGGATACTGGCGTCGGTGCGCCCCGCTGTGCAGGCGAAGATGCAGGCGCCAATGATCCGGCCGGTGCTGACGAGGCTTCTGGCGTCGGTGTTCTCGGCTGTGCTGGCGGCGATGCTCTGGCATCGGTGGTCCTGGTTGCGCTGGCGAGTGTCCTGGCGTCGGTGCCCTCGGCTGCGTTGGTGAGGATGTTGGCGTCTGCGATCCATTCTGCGTTGCCGAGGATGCTGGCGTCGGTGCTCTTAGCTGCGCCGACGAGGAAGCTGTCGCCAGTGCTCCTGGCTCAGGTCGCGAGGATGCTGCATCGGCACTCCAGGATGCGTTGGCGAGAGTGTTTGCGCAGGCATGTCCATGAGCAGCGGCCCCTCGCTCGCTGGCCTCAGTGCTGTAGCTGCTCGTGTTAGATGTTAGACCTTACCACCCCCCTGATCTTTTCGCGCGCTGCCATTCCGCACCGCGGGCTGCAGCGGCCGCCGCCTGGGCGTCGCCGCAACGGCGTCCGCAGCGGCCGCAGCGGCGTCAGCCGCGCCCGCGGCGCCAACGGCGTCGGCGGCGACCGCACCGCCATGCGCCCGCGGCGCCAGCACTGCCGGCGGCGCCCGCGGCGCCCGCGGCGCCTGCGGCGCCCGCATCTCTGGCCGCCCCCGCGGCGCCCACGGCACCCGCAGCGCCCGCGCTGCCTGCGGGGCACGCGGCGCCGGCGCCGTCGGCGCCAGCGGCGCCAGCAGCCCTGGCGGCGCACGCGGCACCGGCGGCCTCCTGCAGCACCCGCGGCGCCCAAGGGGCGCCCGCTGCGCGCGCGGCGCCCGCGGCACCACCGGCGGCGGCGGCACTGACGGCGCCGGCACCGCCAGCAGCATGGGGGGCCCCGGAGGCGCGCCGCCACGGTTTCCATATGAATCATGCAGGGGCCAGAGCGCGCACCTGTGACTGGGGCGGGCAAGAGCCGGAGCGGGCAAGAGCCGAGACGGCTTGAGCCAGGGGTCGGGAGAGTGCCGACTTGGACGCTGTGAGTGTTTCAGTCGAGGCGATGCCTCTGCCGCGTCCCTCTGGTTGGAGGTGCGGCGGAGGGTCGTGTGGGGGCGTGGAGGTGAAGGAGGAGAGTTCCTGGCGCTCTCCCAGGGTCTTTTGAGGTCTCTCGATGCTTCCCGACGGCTCTGGAGGTCTCTGGGGTCTGGAGATCCCCCGAGGTCTCCGAAGGATGAGGAGGAGTGAATGAGTGAGAAAGTTAGTGAGTGAGTGAGAAACTGAGTGAGTGTGTGAGTGAGTCAGTGAACGAGTGAGCGAGTGACTCCGTCACTGGGTGGAGGAGGAGGAGGAGGAGGAGGAGGAGGAGAAGGGAGGAGGAGAATTGAGGAGGTGGAGGAAGGAGGAGGAGGAGGAGGAGGAGGAGGAGGAGGAGGAGGAGAAGGGGGGAAAGAGGGAGGAGAAGGGCCGCCGTTGTCACAATCTTCCCTCCCCTGTGGGGCTCATCTGCTCATCCACCGAGGAGTGCGCACACTACAAGTCGCTGCTCACCCTGGACACGTTCGATCAGGCACACCCTGTTGCTGCTGCTCTCCATGGCTCTGCCCCCCTAACAAACATCGGAGGCTGATAGACCTCCTGCCATGGCACGTCGATTACCGAATTAGCAGTCTTCGGTTCGCGAGAGGGCGTCGCGGCCGTCATTTTTGCGGGTCCAGGTCCGTCGGTTTCGCTTCTGGGCTGTTTTCACTAAAGGGAGGTTTATTGAAGGGAGGCTTGTCCACCGCCGAAGAGACAGTTTCGGGTTCTCATCTCCTCCCCGCTCGCACGGGAAGGGAGCCTGTGGTTGTCTCCGTTGTCGGGTTACCGAGGAGATGTTCGCACGCCCCGGGCCTGCCAAGTATATGTTTGGTAAGAAGTGGTCTTGGTTGAACGCTCCAGGTTCCGGGGCCCGTTTTCACCACGGCCCCGCTCCCTCATGCCAGCGCTCGTGCTGCCAGCGGCAATGATCCTTTCGAGGTTCGCGGGTTGCGTTTGGTTTCCGTTGTCTTGCTGTTTGGGGGTTCCGGCGGACTTCTCGTCGCCACAGATGTTTTTACATATTTTGTTTCGTTTTAAGGCCGCTTCCTGGCCTTGGAACCGTCATTCACATGCGATTATGAAAGAGAACAAGTGGGGAGGGGGGGCGAGTGATTTGGGCTCTGGCCGTTGTTGTTACCCTGTGTCGCTGCTTGTCGGTCCTGAGACCCATCAGACCAGACGCGGGACAACAAATACATGCTTCACGTATCCGCACCAACACATCCAGAAACGATGCCCGGAAGAGTTGTCTTGATCAGGGACGCGGACGAGAACGGAGTGGAATAATGGGCTGGGTAAGACGTCGTGCCCCAAGAGGGGGAGGATGGAGGAGGCATCGGAGGAGGAGCAGGAGGTGGAGGAGGAGGAGGGGGGAGGGGGAGGGGAGAGGGACGAAAAAAGAGGAGGAACAAGCGGATGAGGAAGTGGAAGAGTAGGTGGATGGGGAAGGAGGAAGGCGAGCAGAAAAAAGGCCAGGGGCCTCTTGGATGCTTCTGAGTCTCTTGGGATTTCCTTTGAGAGCTCCTTGGAGTCCTTCCGGGACGTGTTGGGCGACTCTTGTCATTCCCAGGGGCATCTTACGTAGGTCGTCTTCGGTGCCTCTGAAGGGCATCGTGGAGCCTCTTAATAGGATCTCTTGGGAGCCTCTGGGGACCATCTTGAGGGCCTTCACGGTCTAATTTGGGCATCCTTTGGCACCTATTGGGACCTTCTTGAAGCACCCCTGGGAGCCTCGGGGGCCATCTTGGGGCCATCTTGGAGGATCTCAATCAAAGGGGGGGCTCCTTTATCAGGGTCCACCCCCAGGAGGCCAGAATGTTGCCAAAACCATAGTCCGAGCAATGATGTATGCCATCTCGCCAAGGCCTCGCGGGGCGTCGTGGGTGCCTCTTGGGGAGGGCCTCTTGGGGCGTTTGCGGGTCTGCTGGGAGCCTCTAGGGGGCATCTCGGGTGCCTTTGGGAGGCATCGTGGGGCCTCCTGGGCACCTCTTGTGGCCTTCTTGGGGCACCCTTGGGAGCCTCAGGGGCCATCTTGGGACCATCTTGGAGGATCTCGATCAAAGGTGGGGGCTCCTTAATCAGCGTCCACCCCCGAGGAGGACAAGGTGTGGACAAAACCATAGTAAGCCAAAACCATGTCAAGTCACTGATGTTGGCCATCTCGCCGAGGCCTCTTGGGGCGCCTTGGGTGTCTCTGGGGGGCCTCTGGGGGCGTCTTGGGAGTCTCTTGGGAGCCTCTTGGGGCATCTTGGTGGCTTCTTGGGGGCCTCTTGGGGCCTCCTGGGGGCCATCATGGGGCCATCTTGGAGGAGATGGGTCGAAGGAGAGGAGCTCCCCCAGTAGGGCCCCATCCCAGGAGGCTAACATGTGGCCAAAACCATCGTAACATCAATGAGTTTGGCTTTCTCGCCGAGGCCACCTTGGACGCTCCAACGACCTGCGACCCCTGCCTCCAGATCCAGGGGTAGGGGGTAGGGGGAGGGATAAAACCTCCCCCGAAGGGGCAGAAGGGGGGTTGGAAGGAGAACGCGCTAAACCACTCACACCCGAAAGGGCTGGTGGGACCCGCATCGTGCGTCTTGCTGCTGCCCACGACGTCGGCGGTGTGGGCCCCTGCAGGTGACCGACGAGACGTTCCAGTTCGCCACCGCGGTGGAGCCCTACATGGCCAACAGCGGCACTGTGCCCTCGGCACTCTTCTGCTGCCTCTACCGCTTCTTCACGCTCGGCCTTGACCGCAGCAGGCTCCAGAAGCTCATGGACAGCCAGGAGCGAGCCCGCGTCCCCCTCCTCACGTTCCCCCTATCCGCCCACTCCCTCCTCCCTCGGGTGGCCGCTGAGCCTGCCTCGAGACGCTCCGAGGGGCGGCGCCCGGGAATCTGGATCGAGCTGCAGCGATACTCCCGATCACCCTCCTGGCCCCCAGAGGGCCTCCAGAACTCCACTCCTTTGGGGGGGCGTGGCAAGGGGCGGCGGCAGTTCGGGGGCAGCGAGGGCTGGAGAAGAGGGGCCCTTTGGGGCCCCTCAATTGTGCTCTTCGGGGCCCTCACGGGGGCACTTGAGGACCGGAAAGTGCACCATGCTGCCTTTCCCCATTGATGTTTTCACGGCCCGAGAGCTGCACCTTTTTCCCCCCCATTGATCGCCCCCCATGAAGCAACGCCAGAACTTCCCGTGGACGCCCGAGAGCCCCTGGAGACATCGGAGCGAAGACCCGGGACACTTGCGGAAGCGAAGTCTCCGAAAGCCCCCCCCCCCAGGAGAGCCCATTCATCAGATGCGCCGGGTTCCTGTACGTCCGCTTCGGGCTGCCGCACGACCAGCTGCTGGGCTGGCTCGGCGACTACATCCTCGACGACGAGGACCAGGGGCGCGGACAAGGGGCCGTCGCGAGGGGGACGGCCTGGCCGTCTTTAAAGGAGGTGGGCTTCTCAGAACGCCGGGGCCTCCAGAGAAGGACCCGGAGGCCTCGAGGGAGGCTGTCTCCGGGAGCCTCGAGCAGGATCCTGCTTAGCCAGGGATGCATCGACCCGGGCTTGCGCGCAGGATCCTGCAGGATTTTGCAAGATCCTGCAACGCCTCACTGACCCAGGTTTGCATTGATCTGTGTCTGGGCTGGTGGGCTTGCTTTCCACCGCCACCACCATAAGTAGGAGGGGGAGGGGGTCCTCCTCCTCCTCCTCCTACTCCTCCTCCTCCTCGTCCTCCTCCACCTCCTCCCCCCCTCCAACTTCTGGTGGTGGTGGTGGGAAACAGACCCATCAAGGGCGTCCCGGATTCCTCAGAAGCCAGAGGGGGGGCTGCTCTGCGTCCCCCTGCCTCTTTGGAGCCTCCAGCCGTCTCAGAAGACCGCACCCCTTCGCGCCAGCTCCCGTGTGCGCGGCGGCGGCAAGGAATTCAAGCCCTCCGCGGAGACGGATCAGCGGCTAACGATCGGGGAGTTCGTGGAGGCGCTGCTCAGCCAGGACAGGTACTACAACACCGTCCTGCCCCGCCTCCCCATGGCCGCCGGCTAGCTGGCATGTGTTGACGACGACGACGACGACGACGACGACGACGACGACGACCACCACGACCACGACCACGACCACGACGACGACGACGACGACGACGACGACGACGACGACGACGACGACGACGACGACGACGACGACGACGACGACGGCGGCGGCGGCGGCGGCGGCGCGTGCGGGCCCCGCGCCCTCGGTGAGATCCCGGCGGGTGCGGCCAGAGGGCGCCGGCCGCCACTGCGGAGAGGGGTCTCGCGGGTGCTTCGCCGCGTCTGCCTTTCTCGGGCCGGACGAAAGAGAGGGATTGGGAAAGGGGGGGTTACGAAATTTGTTGCATGCAGCTGGTTTCGGCCTCACCGAGGGGGCTATTCCTCGATACATAGCCGCCCCGGGAGGCGCCGGGAAAATCAGCTACGTGAGCTGATTCTCAAACCCCCCCTTTGCTCTCCCCCCCTTTCGCCCGACCCGACTTTCCCGGGGCCCTGGGCCGTCAAAGCAAGATCTTGGGATGAACAAATGAGCGACGGAGAAAAACGGGGTCGTGTGCGCCGACATCGGCGCCTAAGCTGGCCGCGTAAGGTCGCGCGCAAGCGCCCTCGTCTCCACTGTGGCGTGCTGCGCCTGCGGCCCGCGTAGGCTTCGGCGTAGGGTCGCTGTGCCATCTCGCGTGAGACCCGTTTTGGATCGTCGCTCGAATGTCGGGGAACAACCAGTGACAAAAACAACAAGACAACGTGGATGTCCGCGCGGACTTGCTGGATCGGCACTGGACCCCCCTCCCTGGCGCGCGGAGCGAGCCAGGGGCGGCGCCAGAGGCGCCGCCAGGGGGCTCCAGCGCCGATGTCGGGGAACAAACAATGACAAAAACAACAACTCGGAGCTCCGGGCGGATTTCGTGCATCGGCGCTGGAGCCCCCTGGCGGCGCCTCTGGCGCCGCCCCTGGCTCGCTCCGCGCGCCAGGGAGGGGGGTCCAGTGCCGATCCAGCAAGTTCGCGCGGACATCCACGTTGTTCTGTTTTTATGTCACTGGTTGTTCCCCGACGGGGGGAGGCCCCAGGGTCCAGGACCCACTTCCCTCACGGCGGCAAGCCCAGACGAGGGAGAGGGCCCCGGACCCGGGGCGGACGAGGAGGGGGATGCTGCAAGTGGGGCTGGCTGCGGAAATTGCTGCGCGCAGTCGGAATCGGCCACTTTCCCCGATGCGCCCACGGTGCAGAGAGTCAGCCATGCGCAGACGGGGACTAGGGGGAAGGGGGAAGGCTTCTCAGAAACACCCCTGCTTCTCACAAGGAGCGGGCCCTTTCCATAGACGTCAGGCCAGCGCCTTCTAAGAAGAAGCCTCCTAGGAAGCCTCCCCACCTCCCCCTGCCCCGCTTGTGCGCGCCGCCAGGAGGGGCGCAGGGGAATCCGGCTGCCTGCAGCCGAGTCGCTGATCTCTCCTTGGGTGATGTCCCCTCTCCCCGTCCAGCCCGAGAGTTGTGGACGGGACGGCGATCGACACACATTCTGGCAGCATGGCCCGCGTGCCGTCCCAGACTGTGGGGGCCCATGCCAGGAAACACCCTGCTTGCCTCCAGGGTGCCTTGGCTTTCTTGGGTTACGATGGTTTTGCCATGGAGAGCGCGACGTTCCCACGCCAAGAATCGATGGACGTCCTGGGGTCTCAGAGTTGGGTTTCTTGTGGAAGGTTTCTTGTGGACGAGCCCTTACTGTACTTCCTCTTCGTGGTGGCCGGCACGGGCGACCTGGCCGAGTGGCAAAGCCTCGAGCGCTAGGCGCATCGCATTTTCTTCTTTTGTGTTCCTCGTGCTGCGATGGCTCGGGGTCGCACCGCCTGCGTTACTCAGGAGGGAAAAGGCACGCAGACACAAGGAATCGTCGACTCCCAGAAAAATATGGGAAGACATAGGAAGTGGGGGGGAAGCCGAGAATCCAGAAAATCTAATGAAATATGGAGAATTCTGAGAGTTGTGTGTATTTATGTGCGTGCTCCTGGGCCCCCCAGTTGCAGCCAAGGCACAGAGAGAAGGGTCGATTCGGGCTCAGGAGAGTGGCTCCGGTTCTCGGGCCGCACCGTAGAGGTAAGTCGGGCGCGCCCCTTCTGCAGGAGGACTACTCAAGAGTGGTCAAAAGATAGTCCAGAGACGCGTTTTTGTGAATTTCGAACTTTTTGGCGTATGTTAGAGGACATGCCCGACCGAACCTCAGGTCTGGGTCGTGAGGCCTGTTCGCGGCCGAGGCTCGCCATGGCCAGAAGCGCCCCTTCATTCGTCACTCGGCGTTCGCAAGGGTGCTGTGCAGTGGGTGCCCAGGCCAAGAAACACAGAGTGGCTCAGAGGGGCAAGACACCTCCGCCGAGTGGGTGGACCCCGCCTAGCCCGGATCGCCAACAACCCCCTTAGCTGCTGATGGCAAGTCCAGCCCACACCTAAGCCAGGTTAGGCCAGATGCAGTGGGGGCCCATGCCAAGGAACCCCTTCGTTCCTCACTCGGCGCTCGCAAGAGGATTGTACAGTGGTCAAGCAGTGGCGAAGCGTCCTGGCTCGCCTAGAGGCGCACCAAAAACTGTTCTAAGAACCTTTTGTTGTTTGCACGACATGTTCTTGGCACATTTCTGGCTGAGTCTGTCTGGTTTTAGCGCATCTGGTTTGTGTTCTAAGAACAGTGTATGTGCTTTTAGAACACGTTTGGGTTCTAAGAACATGTCCTGGTAGGCCTGTAGAGATGCCGGGACGTCGGTCCCTGCTTAAAGTGGTGGCCTCATGCCAAGAAGCACCTTGCTCGCCTCCTGGGTGCCCTGGGTTTCTTGGGCTTCGATGGCCCTGCAATGGAAAGCATGGCGCTCCCATGCCAAGCATCCATGGGCGTCCTCGGGTCTCAGCGTGCCGTCCTCTGCCCCATACAGTCGGGGCCCATGCCAAGAAACAGGTCCAGGGTGCCCTGGGTTTCCTGGGTGTCGATGGTTCCATGGAAAGCGTGACGTGCCCACACCACAAATCCACGGACGTCCTGGGGTCTCAGGGTTGGGTTTCTTGTGGGAGGTTTCTTGTGGACCGTTCTCCACTGTGTGTCGGCGGTGAGCGAGGGATGGGAAGTGACAGAGAGAAGGCCTTCTCGGAAGGCGGCGGGACTTCTCGGAAGCCCTCGCGCCCTCTGAGAGGTTTTCTTTTCTGTCTTCGGAGAAGGCTCAGAGAATTTCTCAGAAGAAGCCTGGGGGCTTCTGGGACTTCTGAGAAAGCCCGCACCTTCTCACGGCCCCCCCTAGCTCGCCGCCGAGTATGGTTGCTCGCTGTGCCAGTCGGTTTCCTCCACAGTCATTGTCCGATCGGGCTGCGCATCACTGATCCCGACCCACAGAGTGCAGAAGGGCCGTTGGCGATTCAGTACCGAGACCGAGTTCGCCGAGGGTTCCCACGGGGTCTTGGAGCCCTCCCCTGTTCTTCGACGAGCGGTAGTATGGCCTGCTTTCGCACCTGTGGCTTACCTTTCGGTTTCGTTTTGGCTTGCCTTCAGCTTGCGAACTGTCCACTGGCGCGCGGCGTGCGTGCAGGTTTAGCAATGAGCTTATCGAGCTCAGAAACCCGTTACAACGCCTGCAGCTTACTTGTGGCGTGAGTTTAGTGTTCGTTGCACTTGTCCGCAGGTAGCGGGGCATCTAGCCATGTGAGCCTCCCTAGTTTGCTTTTGCTTTTGGCTGACCTATTGCATATGGCTTTCTGCGCAATGTGCTGAAGGTTTGTTTCCGCTTACTTCGATACTGTATTTTGTCGCTTCGCTTTTTTGGAGTATTCCGTTACTCATGTGTTTAGTTTGATTGCGGGTTTGCCTTTATCTTGCCGAGTGCAAATTGCACAACATGTGCGTTTAGTTTTGCTGGCAATTCACGCTTACTTTTGTCTGGAGGTGCCCAGTGCGACGCGTATAGTATTGTTGCCTGTTGCCGCTGTCTTTTATGTTTCTGCTTTGCCAGTTTGCCGCTTCCGGAGCCATATAGCACAAGCACCTGCGACCGCACTCGAGGTTGATTAGTAGGTCGATCCTGCCAAACCAAGAGTATCCTTGTGTCCTTTGTTTTGGGATCCATGTCTTCTACATTCCTTTGGCAATATGGCCCTCAGAAGGCTCTGTTGTCCTCTGGCGTTTCCCCACCAATCAACTCCGACTCTCTACAATCGCATGAACATATACTGTGTGCCTTGCCGTGTTGCAAGCACAGTGGTGGCGTCTCGGGGCCAGTCTTGGAGCTTCCTGGCCGCTTCTATGCTGTCCGGGGATGCCGTCCTCTCGGACGCATGCATGCTGGAGGCCACCGCGAAGCAAACTTGACCTCCCTGCGCGATGTTGGTGGCCATTTGGGGCGTTCCAGAAAGGGCCTCGCCTCTGAAGGTCGAAGGAGTTGTCATCTCTTCCTCTGCGGAAGGTCGGCGGAAGTAAAACGAGGCCGCCTCCGCGGGCGGAAGGCCGGCGGAAGGTGGCGGAAAAAATGCGCCCCCAAGAGCTGAACCCTTTTGGGGGATTCGGGTTTCCGACATTTGGGGCCATCTTGTAGCCACTTGGACGAGTTTGGGCGCCCGAGCCGTTCAAGCACCAGCCAAAGCACCGCCGCACCCTTTTTGCCTCTTGCGTGCGCGTTGTCCCGTCGTACCCATCCCGTGACGCCTAGTCCTCCCCTGCCCACATTATCATCACCAAAGCTTTGATGGCTCTGATTTTCGTACTCCTGCTCGTGTCCTTCCCGATTTAGCCTTATGGTCAGCATGTTACTGTTCCTTCTAATTATTCATATGCATGTCGTTTCCCCTCGCTTTACCCTTTTCAGGATTGTCGCGTGTTGCCATTGTTCGTCTGTTTCCGACCTCCCCTGTCGGGATGTTGCTGGCTGGTGCCTGCCTTCGAGGAGGCGCCAGGTGGTTTTAGAGAGGCTGGGCCCCTTGAATTAGCCCCTTACCTCAGAGGAGAAACATGGACCACCGCCACGTGATCATTTTCTTATTGTCTTGCCGATCGGCGCGGGCCCTCGCAGCCCCCCCCTCCCCTGGAGTAGATCTTCGCTGTTTTTGGCGCCTGTTTCACGCAGGTGGAGCCTCCCCCATAGGACGCACTGTTGCAAACAGCCGCGTTGAGCGGAGGTCCGGAGCCAGACGCTCCCCCCTCCCCCCCGCCTTCCGCCCGCTGTCGAAACGCCGAATCAGAGAACGCTCACCACCGAGAACCCATCGTTGAGGGACCGGCCCCTGGGCGGTGGCACGCCTCGGCGTCATCTTGTCGTCGGGGGACGCTCGGGCGTGCCGCCGCCCAGGGGTGGGGCCCCCGCCGATGGGTTCTCGGCGGGGGTGGTCCGTGCTTCTCCTCCGACTGGAACTCGTTTCTAGACTCCAGGAAGTTTGCTTGCGTGGACGGGGGGGGGGCTGAACCTGAAGCTTGCCGCGAACGACCTTGCACGTGCGGAGGCCAAACGACTTGCACGTGCGGAGATCACGCAAGTCGAAAGGCACTTGCGCGCTAGTTTTCGTCTGAAGAGGGGCGAGGGGGGGAGGGGGGCGAGCGCCATGCAAGTAAACTTGCCTGAATCGATAAAAAACAACAAAATAAAACAAAACAAAACAAACCAATGATCCCAGTGCGACCCTACCTAGGAGTTGGAGCCCTTAGGAAAGCAACATTAGTAGGAGCGGTAAACGCGGTCCTCCTCCTTCTCCTCATCGTCGTAGTTGTAGCAGTAGCGGTAGTGTTAGTAGTAGTAGTAGTAGTAGTAGTAGTAGTAGTAGTAGTAGTAGTAGTAGTAGTAGTAGTAGTAGTAGTAGTAGTAGTAGTAGTAGTAGTAGTAGTAGTAGTAGTAGTAGTAGTAGTAGTAGTAGTAGTAGTAGTAGTAGTAGTAGTAGTAGTAGTAGTAGTAGTAGTAGTAGTAGTAGTAGTAGTAGTAGTAGTAGTAGTAGTAGTAGTAGTAGTAGTAGTAGTAGTAGTAGTAGTCGTAGTAGTAGTAGTAGTAGTAGTAGTAGTAGTAGTAGTAGTAGTAGTAGTAGTAGTAGTAGTAGTAGTAGTAGTAGTAGTAGTAGTAGTAGTAGTAGTAGTAGTAGTAGTAGTAGTAGTAGTAGTAGTAGTAGTAGTAGTAGTAGTTGTAGTGGTAGCAGTAGTAGTCGTAGTGGTAGTAGTAGTAGTAGTAGTAGTCGTCGTCGTCGTCGTCGTCGTCGTCGTCGTCGTCGTCGTAGTAGTAGTAGTAGTAGTAGTAGTAGCAGCAGCAGCAGCAATCGTGGATGCTGTGCTGCGCTATGCTCTGCTATGCTATGCTATGCTACGCTATGCTGCGCAATGCTATTCTGGGCTAGGCTAGGCTATGCTATGCTATGCTATGCTTTTGCTTTGCCTTCGCTTTTGCCTTCACTTTTGCCTTTGCTTTTGCTTTTGCTTGGCACCCAGGGAGCGCAATTGGGGGAACCGCGCGTTTGCTTTTACCTTTGCTGTTGCTTTTGCTTGGCTCCCAGGGGACCGGGGGAACCGCCCGGGGCGCATTACACCGCCTGGCCCTTTAAGCCAATCGAGTATGAACCTTTCTAGGCAGGGCGGGCCCAGGTAGGGAAAAAGGCTTATACCATTTCGGACTGTCTCTTCCCGAAGCTTGGCAGGGCTGGACGAGAAGGCAGGACAGGGAAGGGCCGCGGCCCCGCCGCCAGGTCCATTCCTCGATACACATGGGCGCCTCCTGGCGCCAGGAGGCGTCAGGAAAGCCAGCTGCGTGAGCCGACTCTCTGCCCTGCCCTTGTGGGAGAGCATGCGGCAACCATTGAGAACCCACACGCGTGTACACATCACCAATCCAACTGTTCAGTGATGTGGGCCTTTGGGGCTGGCCCCCAGAGCCTCCAAGACGGCCCAAGAGGGTCCTAAGAGAGCCCCTGGACGGTCCATTGAGGCGCCGAGGGTTGCCAAGCCTTTTTGAGCGCTTCTTGGAAGGATCTCGATGGACATTGGAGTTGGTTTGAGCGGGTTTGGCTTCCTGGAGGCCCATGCGGCAAGCGCTGGAAGCCCTCAGAGGCGCACAGGAATTCTGCCAGGTCGGTGGCCAGGGCCATCACGTTGAGTAATCACATCTAATGAGCCTCGGGGCGCTCACCTGCGTATTGAAGGCACGGTGGCCAATTTCACTTAGCAAAGAGGTGTGCAATTTGTTTCCAGGGGGGCTTGCCGAGGTCACCAAGCGCGCCGTCGAGGAGAGGCTCGCCCCCCTGGGGCAGAACCGGAAGCGGATGCAGGCGCGGAGGGGAACCCGCAAGTAATGATGCCAGTCCCGCGTCCCAGCCTCACCCTCAGAGGACGAGGAATGCAGAGGTCGACAGGAAGCAGACAGGTTCTGAGGGAGATGTGTCCTTAGATTGGGGTGCCGTTTTGGGAGTCTTCGGGGCCTTCCACGGGCCCCTGGGACTGTCAGAACACGATTCGGGATGAAGAGTTGATCCCCAGGGAAGGCCCCGGGGTCCATGACTCATTTCCCTAAAGACTCGTTTGCCGAATGCCGAAGAGGGGGGGAGGAGACCCATCAATAGAGGGGGAACGGGGAAGAGGAGGCGGACGCGGGAATGAGGAGGGTGGGGGTGAGGGGATGGGACAGGGGTTGGGGGACACAGGGGACGGCGGGGAAGGGGGGATGTCTTCTACTGCGTGGTTTGATGTGCTATTCTAAGGTGGGTCTTGATAAAGCCCGCTTGCCCAGGGAATGGAGTGGTAGACGAGAAACGCTGCAGCTCATGAATGGTAGCTTTGATCATGAAGCAACCGTCTAACATTGGCATGCACGTTCTCTGCCGTCAAGGTGACCATCTGGCTTCGCGTGAGAACCGACCCGAGCATCCGCATATGCCGCAAGAGGGTGCCGCAACGTATGTTGACGGATCCGTGTGTGTGTGGCGCGTTTGTGCTGCTGTGCCACGACGTCATCCTGTGACGTCGGGCCTGACAGTTGCACGTGGTGCGCTCAGGCACCCATCGGACCCGCCAGGATTGCCCACTTGACGCGATGTGCTGGAGCCAATAGTGGCAACGTCGGGCCTAACATATTCATGTTACAGACAATCGCAGCCATTGCAAAAGTATGGCGCGACATATCCACGTGTTTTGCATAGGCCAGCAAAACAAATTTCAGCCCGCACATGCTTCGCTGTGTCTGCGACAACGTGGAAACGTCAAGCCTGATTTCCCCCTGTTATGTTTATCCAACATGCTGGATCAAGCAGTGGATGGCCAAGCGTGACACCTGGTGCTTACATGTTACGCCACATGACAACATTGAAAGCGTCATGTTCGCCATTCTCCAAATAGCGACTCGCTTTTGTGGTTTAGTTTACAGTGTGGGAATTAGCAGGGATCTCGACTTTCTCCGAAGAGTATCCCGACGGCTGCCGTCGCGGTGCGTTCGGGGTGCGTTCGCGGTGTTGGATTGAGTTGTTCCTGTATCTAATAGGGCGACTCTTGGGCGGCCCTGCCAAGAACAGTCCAGACCAAATGCTGCTCAATCGTAGCATTCAGTACCTATCAGCAAATTGAGACAAAGTTCTCCCACAGTGCAATATCAAACAATTTACTCCCAAACCAAGGACCCTTCGATAATACAGAAGGTGCGTCTGTGGACCCTCCCAGAAGACTCAAGAGCTTCCCAAGAAATTGTAAAACGCATCGCCATGGACTCATCAGCTTCTCAGGGGGCTCCGCAGGACCATCTCGGGAGCCTTGTCAGGACCTTTTCAAGAGCCTTCTCAGGACCTTCTCGGGAGCCTCTCCAGACCCTCTCAGGACCCTCTCGGGACCCTCTCAGGGGCCTCTCCGGAGGCTCACAGCATCCTTCTGTTTGGGTGTTTTGCTGAGTTAGTTTCATGTGATATGTTGAAACCGTCCTTGAACACGTCAGGCATTTCGTTCCCATGCGATCTCCATTCGCACACGTTTCCCAAATTCGTTTTTCTTTTATTGTGAGATGTTTGCTTAGCTCCTCTCGATTCCGCAGCCATCCTTCCCCACCGGGCCCCAAGAACGATGCTGCACATCTGGCAGCATCCAGCGGAGTTGGTTCGGCTGGTTCCGCTGAAAATTTCCTCACAATGCAAGACTCTTCGCCGCCAGTGGGCGCTTGGTGGTCGCACCGCACATCGCTTGCACCACAAAGCTTGCACCACACAGCTTCGGCCCCGCAGGTTCTCTTTCGCAGCGGGAGATAGATTTCCCCCCCCCTCCCGAGCCCCGGACTTAGCGGGCCGTCACCGGACATGGTCAATTTACATTTGAGTCTGCCTCTCCGTTCATTGGCACACCACCTCGTACCTGTCAAGGAACACTATGCGTGCACACTCGTGTATCTCAAAAGGTTGGTTTACAATATTCCCTGGCAGAAAACCACACAAAGCTGACACGCGCGCGTACATGTCGAGATCCAGCAAACACAGTCGATCTTCAAGCATTTGAAAACTACAGAACATTTAACAACAGATGGTGTTGTATCACACGTCTTGCAGACTTGTTGCCCGCGCGCACCTGCTGAACTCATTAGAAAGCATAGCGTTATTTGCATGCTCGTCCAGAATCCGCACTCTAGTCTCACCACGCGGTGCATCTGCGTTGATCTAGCATGCGCCCAGTGCGCGAGCACGTGTCAAATAACATTATGCGGCCACACGCGCGCGCGCCGTCACGAGCGCGTGTCGGAATCTCTCCAAAACGATTGGTTGCAGAGATGTCCCAACATGGAGCTCTCAAAACAACATGTGGTAAATCAAACATTGTTCAACAACAAGACTGCCTGTGTTTTTTTGAATTCTTGCCCATACGCATTGCCCCACCATCACCTTGACCTGTGCCATCGCATGACAGCCGTTATCGTCATCGCCAATCGCCGCCATTGACGCCATCATCAGCCAATTACCTTCGACGCATGGACATTATCAGTGTCACAGCCGTCAACAGCATCGGAGCCGTCATTGGGCTTGCCGTCGTCCTCGTCGTCATCGCCACCACCATCGTTGCTATCATCATCTCAGCCGCAGTTGTCGACGCCGTCATGGTACCGCGCCCGCCCGGGCCACCGACACGCTGAAATGCCCGCACGCAAGCACGGCCTCTGAGCCGCGCTGGGAGGTTCCAATGCGTCTGGAACGCTCTGCGCGCGAGCTTGCGCGCGCCAACGCGGCCGCAGAGACGCGTCAGCCAGTGCCAAGCAATCACCTCATTCGCGGCCGCATGGGCGTTGCCGAACCAGTTGCGGGTTAGAGTGTGGGATGTTGGCACGAGCAGTGGGGTCGACCCATAGTTTGCGCCACGCAGCTCGCACCACATATATTGAATCGCATAGCTTGCATGTCAACGCTGGCACTACATATGTTGTATCATATTGTTTGCTCCACATCGCATATCGCTGGCTCAATGGCTTCGGACCGCGCTGACAGGCCAGCAATCACATGGACATGCATATATGTATGTGCATACGAACGCATACAGTAGAGACGGCAGTCCTGTCAGGCGCCCGTTCTCCACACTGACTAGCAGTGGAGCCGTCAGCCAGGGCATTCGCAAATGCTGCGCTTCCTTCAGCATTGATCACCCGAGATCAACCAATTACACGTGGGAATTCTAAACCAGCATTGGCATCAACAGGCCTGGCGTCGCAAACTGCTGCGCAGAAGACAATATCGAACATGTCGCCTGGCACTTGCATACCACATTTGAGAACGTCAAACCTAACGTGATCGAGCGCTGTCCTCTAGCCAGTGGTTTTAACGTCAGGCCTGACACCCGTACGTGATGTGCATAAACACGTCCATGCGGCAAGTGTTGCGTTTCGGCCATCATTGCGAACGCAAGGTTGGAAATCTGTTTGTGCGGTGCGCGTTCGCCCAATGGAGCCGTCGGGCCCACGGTGTTCCGGGTTAGTGCATAAGCTAACATCGAAAGTGTCAGGCTTGACCTAGCCGTGTGTTAACGCCAGGCCTGAATCACGTCAGGCCTGATATGGTCAGGTCTTGAGGGGTTTAAGTTTAAAACACTTCAATCGTGGGAGTTCGAGGGACGTCGGTGTTCGATTCGTTGTTATGGTGTGTTGTGTTGTGGGCTATGTGTTGGGCCGTATTTGGTGTTGTGCGTTCGGTGGCTGGTGCTTGGCATCGCGTGCTTGGTGGCTGGAGGTGTGCTTTGTGTACATGTTGTTCGCATTGTGAATTGTGTGTTGTGCGTGGTGGTCGGTGTTTGTTGCGATGTCAGATACGCCGTCTGATTGGTATGTGTTGTTATGCGATGGCGTTGCATGTCGTGTGGTTGATTGTGCGTGCTGCTTTGTGCTTGGGGCGGTATCGGAGCTGAAAAAAAGCATGGGGGGTTGCGAATCCCGATCGGGGAAGGCCCGGTCCACCAACGAACTGTTCGAGCAAGCCATGTTTAGAAAATGGCTAGGGGGAAAGGGCATGAGGAGTATTGAAAGGAGGAGGGTCGGAAAGTAGCGGACGGGCTCTAGATACTGGAGCCAGATTTGAGGAGAGGGAGAGGTGAGCGCAAGTGCCGAGAGGCAGGGAGGTTGAGCAGGTAGCACATGCAGGGATGGGGGTTGGAGGGCGGAGGGAAGGACGCAAGAGAGGGCGAGAGAGGCGGGGAGAACAGGAGGAAAGATAGGGGGAAATAGGGTGTCAGGACAAGTCTGTATATGTATATCTGTATATGTGTATATATAGTGTATATATATATATACACATATGTATGTGAGCTGTTGGGCAATTTTCGGTGCAGACGACAATGGTGGGGCAGGAGCAGGACGAGAGGGGGAGGAGGCAGGATGGAGGACGGAGCAGGGCGGCGGCGCCGCTCATCAGGAACTCTCTGTCGTCTGTCGGTGCCGTGAAGGGAAGAGGGTTGGGAAGAGGGTTGGGAGGAGGGAGGGGGGTTGGAGGAGGAATGGGAGAAGGGTGGGGGAGCTCGGTGTCGTTTAACGGATCCCCATGCCCATCCCCCTCTCCTCCGAGACCCCTAACAAATTACCACCGCAGTTGGGGATGCACCCCTCGAAACCCGAAGGAAGCGACCCATATCCTCATCTACGGGGGTCAATCGGCCAGCGGGGCCTAGGCCACGCCGCTGAGGATGGGGATCGGTTAGACGATACTCAGGAGCACGAGTGGGACACGTTAAGATGCCCCAGAATTGCTGGGACATTGCCACAGCTCCTCCAACGCTCTCTACCTCTGCCGTACACCTCCTCTCTCGTCCCCCTCCGTCTCCACTCTCCTCGATTCGCTCAGTCGTGTGTATGTTTCTTCGGGGGCGGCGCACACTCCTCATCGTACTCCACCCCCACCCACTCCCTCGTCCCCCTCCCTGTCCAGTATATTCTTCCATCTCCGCCCTCCTCCCTCCTCCTCCTCCTCCTCCTCCGCCTCCTCCTCCTCTCTCCTCCCTCCTTCCTCCTCGTCCTCCTCGTCCTCCTCCTCCTCGTCCTCCTCCTCCTCCTCCTCCTCCTCCTCTCCTTCCTCTCCTCCTCCCCCTCCTCCTCCTCCTCCTCCTCCTCCTCCTCTCCTCCTCCTCTCCTCCTCTCCTCCGTCCTCCTCCCTCCTCCCTCCTCCCTCCTCCCCTTAGATAGGAGGGAGGATTGGCGGCCCGGGATGGGCTCTGAAGGGGAGGGCCCCCCCAGCCCTCCCGCTGCCCCATGCCCCTGCTCCCATCCTGCAGGGAGTCGGCGGCGAGCCCAGGGGGGGAAGGCAGAAGGGGCGGGCCTCCCCAGAAGGCTCAGAGGGTCTCCTCATCCTGCTCCGCCTCCTCGTCCTCCTCCGTCTTCCTCCTCGTCCTCCTCGTCCTCCTCCTTCTCCTCCTCCTCCTCCTTCTCGTCCTCCTCCTCCTCCTCCTCCTCCTCCTCTTGGCTCAAGCCATTTTGGCTCAAGGTCCCCAGGGCGGCGCGCGGCGGGCGCGCGCTTGGGTGCCATGGGGATCCGATACTGCCTAGCCTCCGTCGGGATGCACGGCTTCAAGTGCCTTCGGAGCGGCCGACAATGTTGCGCGAAGTACTACGAGAAGGGGGTAGCGAAGCTGCAGCCCAAAGGTGAAGGTCGAGCCCAATGCCATCACCTACAGCGTGGCGATCAGGGCATTTGGGGGGCGAAGTCGCAGCCCGACGTTGCCAGGCAAGTTTTCCAGTCGCATGTTGACGCATCCCGTATACCGCACTGCGTGGGCGAGACGAGGGAGGCGAAGTTGGAGCCCGAGTTCTACAACCACTGCCTTAGGAGCAGCGAGTGTGAGAGTGAAGGGCCGTCGCGGCTGGTTTCGCCACATTCCGCGAGAGCCCAAGAGGACAGGAACGCGGAAGGACGAGCCCAATGCCATCACCTACCACGTTGGGGCCAGGGCATTCCGGAGGATGTTAGACGCATGCGAGAAGTGGGCGGCGAAGCTGTAGCCCCGAACTACAGCTACAGCCTTGGGAGCAGCGCGTGCGCGAATGCAGGGCAGTGGCGGCCGTGGTCGCCACATTCCGTGGGTGCCCAAAGGAAGGGCACACAGAAAGACGAACCCAATGCCACCACCTACTGTTTTGCTATCTGGGCGCTATGGAGGCGAAGTCGGGGAACGACGTGGCCAGCATTGATCTTTTGAGTTTGATTGAAGCCCATACCGCGCGTGCGTGTGCGTGTGCGCGCTGTGTGTACACGGGCCCCGCTTCAGGGGGAAGGCGCACTCTCCCGCGACAGGGCCCTTCATCGCCCTTTGTAGTGTCGGCAGCGTTCTGCCGTCTCTGCGGTTCTCTGGCGCAGCATCGGCCGCATTTAATAAGAATGGTGGCTCAGCGCCACGAGGTTTCGGGTTAGGGTCGGGCCGGCCAGCCGTTAGCGTCCCTCTTCAGCAAAGCGTCGGTCCTCCTCTTACTCCTCCTCCCTCTTCCTCCTCCTCCTCCTCCTCCTCCTCCCTCTTCCTCCTCCTCCTCCTCCTCCTCCTCCTCCTCCTCCTCCCTTCTCCGAAGCAGGCGGGGGGCCTTCTCAGAACGCCCGAGGGCCTCCGAGAAGCCCCGCCGCTTTAGAAGAAGGCCTGCCCCCGCTTGCGTCCTCCCCCTGGCGCGCCGCCGGGGGCAGGGGAGGGGGGGGGGGGAGCGCCGGCCGGATGCGCAGCCGCGGCAGGCGAACAAAAGCATCATCGACAATCTCATCATCAACAGCATCGTCAGCGTCATCATTGGCACCACCATCGTGTCATCCTCAGTGGCATTGCCATGACCATGCGCAGCAACAACACCACCCTCGTCATCAGCAGAAGCATGGCATGCTCATCATCAAATTCTGCATCCGTATCATCGACACCATGTCAGCATCCACCGCATCATGAGTGACATTGTCGTCATCACCGTCATCATCCACAACATCAGCAGCAGCAACTTCATACTCATCTTCAACATCGTCATCATTGTTATCATCGTCAGCATCGTCGTTGCTGACATCGTTTTCATCGTCAACCTCGTTGACATCCCCACCCCCATCATCAGCAACAGCAGCATGACCATCATAGCCCGTTTGGTCAAGCACCAGCTTGCCCGAGGGCCGTTCGGCTGCACGTGTGGCCGCCCCTCCCGCCCCCCCCCCCTCCTGCTACGCACCCATTGTCTCGTCCTCGCGCCTGGAATAGGTGATTCAGCAGCTGCTGCTGGGTCGCGAATGCCAGGTCCGGAGGAACAGCCGCGAGAACAAGTTCGTCCTTTCCCTGGTTCTCTCCGCAATATTGACGTGTGGATGGGCAACACCATAGCGGCTCTTCTCATGGCAGAACTCCGACAGCAGTTGCAGTTCTATGCATCCGCGGATCAAGGCCACCATACTTCAGCTGACGAATCGCACGTCAATATCAGATTCAAACATCGTGCTCCTCCTGGAGGAAGTGCGGGCCACGATGATGCTGATGATGACGATCTCCCCGCAAAAGGGATTGGACCTGATATAGGCACTGACGCTGGCGATGCGGCTGGTGATTGACGTCGTGGAGACCGCGAACGTGATGTAGGAAGCCCCCCTGGTGGAGCAAGTCCTGGCGCCCGTCGTGGACCTGATCCCTGGGCGCCTGGCAATGGTGATCCGTGGGCTGGCGGTCCTGTTCGCAAGCCCCCCCGTATGCGAAGGCTTCAACGTGGTGTACGTGGTGATCCAATGGCTCTTGATTGTCCTCGTGGCGCTGGCCCCTATTGAGCTTCCAATGGTCCCGACTGTCCCATTTAACACGATGGCTCGCGTGTTTCCCCCTGAATATCGTAATTCTGCGGGTGGGCTACCTTAGGCCAGTTTTCGTAGTGCACAGACTGATCTCGTTGACGCCCCTGCGGATCTCAATGAGCTTCCAGATGGTCGTGAGCATCTTGATGATCGTGAGTTTCCAGATGGTTGTGGGCTTCCGGATGGGCTTCTCGGTGGGTTTCCAGATGGCGCTGAGCTTCAAGATGGTCGTGCGTCTCCAGACGGTCGTGAGTTCCTTGGTGGGTTTCTTGATTGTCCTATTTACGGGCTTCCTGATTGCCGTGACCTCCCCGATAGTTGCGAAGTCCTTGATGTCGTGATGTTTGCCGGATTGATTTTCGCTGGTCGTGAGTTTAAAATTGATATGGTTCCAAATGGTCGTGCAATTCCAGATGGTCTGGAGTTTCCAGGTGGTCGTGAGCTTCCAGATGGCCCTGAGCTTCCAGATGGATTTTCCGGTGGGCTTCCAGTTAGTCGTGAGGTTCCCGACGGGCGTGCGTTTCCAGATGGTCGTGACTTCACTGGTGTGTTTCCAGATGGACTTGGTTGTGTTATTCCAGATGGCCGCGAGCTTCGATATAGTTGCGAGCTTCCAGGACATCGAGTTGTTTGTCGGTTTACAGACGGTCGTGCGGCTCTTGAAGCGGCTGCTGCGGCGAATCTCCTGGCACAGGTCACGAGGAGATGAAAGAGGTCGTTCGCCTGGCCGTCGGTCGTGTGGAGCAGAATGATGAAGCCAGCCGTGCCGAACTCGAGGCATTCTCCCAGCAGGTTCTGTTGGCCACGGTTCGGAACAGGAGCGGTGCAGAAAACTATTTCGAAGGATTGGAGTAGTGCCCAATCGCAGCGCCGATAGTGGCAGTGCCTCGTATTTTGACGGCCCTTCCTCTTCGGTTTCCTCCTCGCTGCTTCGTGCGTGGCTGTGAATTCCACATGGTCTTCAATTGGCTTTCTTCGGACAAGGCTGGCGTTACGACGGTGTTTCCCCTTTTCAGGCCTGCGGATTTGCTCTTCCGTTTCCTACTTCAGCGACAGCTCTGGGATCAGCGCGTGCGAGAAGGGCGAGCAGTGACAGCGGGCTCTGGCGCTACCGAGAGAGATGCAGGACGCAAAGCTGGTGCCCTACGTCTTCAGCGACAGCGCCGAAATAGCGCCTCCGAGAAACGTGGGCGGTGGCAGCAGGTGTTGTCGTTGCGGTGCGAGGGGTTAAAAAGTCATATGATCATCACCATCGTCATCGCCATCATCATCAGCATCAGCATCGCCATCGTCGCCTTCATCATCATCACCATCCTCATCATCAGCAACATCATCGTCATAACAATCGGCATCGCCATCAGCATCATCATCATCATCATCACGATCCGCCGCAGGCGAACAAAAGCATAATAGACAAGTTCCGCGACCGGGGATGCAGGGTCGAGGCGAACATCGACGGTGAGTGGATGCCAGGCGCTGTGGTCGAGCTCGACGAGGACCGGCGGTGCGCTCCCTTCTCGGCTTTGGAGTGCAAACCGAAGAAAAACACATTGTATCAGCATGAGCGTCAAAATCGCCAATCGTCGTCCGATTCGTCGTCATGCTTGTCGTGCTCGTCGTCCTCGTCCTCGTCGTCGCGTCGCCCGCGTTCCCGTACCCCTCTTGTCATCAATCGACGAGTCCATCAAAAAGCGTCGGCCAACTCGAGCTCTGGCGATTTCGAGCGCTACATCCCCGAAGAAAGGAATCATCAAAATACATAAGCATCATTCTTGTTCGGAGTTCCGCGCGAATTTCCTGGATCACGGTTAGGCCCCCATGGCGACGCCGTGGAAGGGAGGGATCCAGCGCCGACTTAAGAAATCGACACGGAGATCCGAAGGTTCCTGCTCATGCCCTGTGTTGCTTCGCTGAGGCGCCCATGCCGATCACCAGCGGGCGTCACAGAACGGCCTTGGGTGGACAAGAGTCATGAGCTGACACGTGGGCCTCAAACCCGAAGGCCCCACGAGTCCAGATACCAACGCTCCTCAGCCACGCGCAGGAGGGGGGGGGGGGAGGGGGGAGGGCTTCTTAGAAGCCCCCCTGCTTCTTAGAAGGCGCGGGCCTGATAGATGTAAGGTCGGCGCCTTCTAAAAAGCAGGGGTGCTTCTAAGAAGCCCTCCCCCGTCCCTGCACCCCCTTGTGCGCGCCGCCAACACAGGGCGAGGCTCGAATCTGGCATGATCATGACAGGTTCAGGGGTTGGATTTGCGTGCATCAGCAGTGGACCCACGGAGGTGGTCGAGAGCTCAGGAATCCCCGCATTTAGTAAAAGTGGCGATGTCGGGTGTCTGGGCAGCAGAGGTGACGCGCTTCCCGGAGGGGGTCCTCGTCGCCACAGGTGGAGGGGGCTCCGAAGACGAGCCAGGACAGAGGATCTTGGCGGTCTTGAGCGGATGTCGGTTGGGAGCAGGACATTCTTCTCAGACGCCCCATCCCGTCTCATAGAAGCGATTCGTCCTTCCAAGACGCCTTCCGAGAAACCTTCGCGAAGGGGGCTGGCTGCCTTCCAAGAAGCCCATTGCCTTCTTAGAAAGATCGAGGCCTCCTCTGACGGGTTGTCTGGCGATCCAAATCCACAATTGGGCCTAAAATTTGGGGCCCAATTCGGGGATCTACGATGGGGTGGCGACCAGGAGCCGCGCTCCTTGCCTCGATCTGCCGCGGCCCATCTCAAGTCCACCCTGGCCCGTTTTCCGAGCCGCGTCTGGTCGCTCCGGCGCCAGGAAGCGGAACGATATCAATGGTCATCCGCGTCGTTGTCGTCGTCGTCAGCATCGTCCTCGTCGTGCTCGTCATGTTAGTCGTCAGCGTCGTCCTCGCCTTCGTCGTCGTCCGCGTCGTCCACGTCCTCGTCGTCGTCCTCGTCGTCCTCGTCATCGTCCTCGACCTCGTCCTCGTCTTCGTCGTCCTCGTCCTTGCCCTCGTCGTCGTCGTCGCCGTCGTGGTGGTGGTGGTCGTCGTCGTCGTTGTCGTGGTCCTGCGCACCGCCGAGCCGAGGAGCGGCCCAACAGGCCGACGGTCCGCGTGCGCCTGGACGACGGCGGGGAGGAATACGTGCTGCTGGGAAAGGCGCCCTTGGGAAGGGGGAGGAGGAGGAGGAGGAGGAGGAGGAGGAGGAGGAGGAGGAGGAGGAGGAGGAGGAGGAGGAGGAGGAGGAGGAGTAGGAGGAGGCAGAGAAGGAGGAGGGAGGAGGAGGAGGAGGAGGAGGAGGAGGAGGAGGAGGAGGAGGAGGAGGAGGAGGAGGAGGAGGAGGAGGAGGAGAGGAGGAGCAGGAGAGGAGAGATGAGGAGGAGGATGAGGAGGGGGAGGAGGGGAGATGGAGGGATGGGGGCGGGGGGATTCGCCCTCGGATTCGCCTGTCTGATCCTCTCCACTGAATGTTAACAGCAGGGACAATGATGAACGTGGAGGAGGACGATGAGGAGGAGGAGGAGAAGGAGGAGGAGGAGGAGGAGGAGAGGAGGGGGAGGCAGGGAGACAGGAGGAGCGGAGGAGGAGGAGAGAAGGAGGAGGAGGAGAGAGGAGGGGAGGAAGGGAGGGAGAGGAGAGGAGGAGGAGGAGGAGGAGAGGAGGGGAGGAGGAGGGGGAGGAGGGGGAGAGGGAGGGGGGGGGGGGGAGGCGAGGAAGGAGGAGGAAGAGGAGGAGGAGGAGCAGGAGGATGGAGGCAGAGGAGGAGGAGATGATGGGGAGGAGGGGGAGAGGGAGGGATGGGGGGGCGGGATTCTCCTGGTTCCGCCTGCCTGAGCCTCTCCACTGAATGCGGACAGCGGGGGACAATGATGAACGTTGAGGGAGGAGAGGAGGAGGAGGAGGAGGAGGAGGGAGGAGGAGGAGGAGGAGGAGGAGGAGGAGGAGGGAGGAGGAGGAGGGGGAGGAGGGGGAGGAGGGGGAGAGGGAGGGGGGGGCGGGGATTCGTTTGGATTCGCCTGCCTGATCCTCTCCACTGAATGCGTGACAGCGGGGACAATGATGAAAGTGGTGGAGGAGGAGGAGGGCGAGGAGGGGGAGGAGAGGGAGTCGATAATGTTCTACCTGTGAGCGTGGTGACCAGCAGCAAGGCAGGGCAGGCATGCACAAAGACACCCTACACCTTCATGGACGGGTAGAAGGCAATGGCGTAGAAAACAATGAGCAAACTTACCGACACGATGCAGTCCGCAGTGACGAGTGACGAATTAACAATGCCTCTTCCAGCAAGATCCCCAAGGAATGTTGCGAGCTGCATGCTTATTTCAACCACAAGCCAGAAATGACATGGAACACACAACGAAACGCACAATGCCGAAATGCTGCACCAAAGCCTGCTTGCCATGACCCACACACCGAACACAATGAATCCGCGTACTCAAGACGCGTAACGCATGCCACACCCACACGATGTGGTCCACGAGCACAAGCTGTGGCACGATATGGTGAATAACTTCGCTTCCGCGAAGAGAGAAAAGCAAAGAAGACAATGATGAAGACACCCGGCAATGGTAGTGACACGCAGTGAAGTAATAAGTTGTGTCACCTCCTGCAATTCTCGCAAAGTATGTGGCGAGTTGCGCGCTACTTTCAAACACCAGCCAGAGACGAATAATGTAACACCCACCAGGTGAAATACACCGCCGAACAACTGCACCAACACCTCTGAGGGCACACCAGGCCCGAGGGCGAGGGGAATGCTAGCCAACACGGCTTGTCCCTCGAGCCCTAGATCAACACACATGTGAGCCCCATCCCACCAGAAATCGACTGCACCATGACAACCAGTGGAAAGCGCCCAGGCCTGCAATACAAGTACAAATTGCCTCGAACACCTGAGCGGACCCCATGCCCACAACGATCACCAGCACGCCCAGCAGCCCATCCACCAAGAGGCCCTGCCTCATGAACACGAGGAGACCACCAGGAAAGTGAGCTGCAGCGGCATGCACCCGAAGAGAGGCGAACAAATTCAACCCGGCGTTGCCAGGAGCACCTGGACTTCAAGTGGCAGGGGGCGGCGCACCTCCCCACATTAAGCCCTGGGGCGACGGCCGAGCGGCGTTGTGGGGGGCCACTCGGGCCACCGTGGCTTGAGGGGGGATGAGAAGGAGGAAAGGGAGGAGGAGGAGGAGGAGGAGGAGAAGAGGGAGGAGGTGTAGGAGGGGGAGGAGGATGACGCAACCTTGTTTCAAACACACGTTGGCTGTTCCCCGTGCCCCAAGCAGCGCGGACGCACCGTCTGTGCACAGGGCGCGGCCACGGGCAAGGCTGGGGGTATTGTGAACACAGTGCGAGTTGCGAGAGCGATTCTCCCAATAGACTCCTGTCCAGTATGTGGATCGCGTCCTCCGACCCCCCCCCCGCCGAAGACACGAGCAGGGGCGAGAGGGGGTTCGGAGTTGAGCACGTTGTGGCTGAAGTTGCGGTATTTTCCAGGGCTTCAGCAAGGCCTACACATGCAATCGAGGTATCTTCTCGGGCATGAGAGGTGCAGCGTGGTGGTACGCATGGCCGCGAGATGCGAGTCCGACGCACGCATCGCTACTGCAGGGGCCTGCCAAGCGCGCGTGATTTGTTGGCGAGGCTTGCACGCAAACCACACTCGGCGGCAGTAGGGGATGGCAGGTGGGATGAGGAGATTAAGATCCTGCCGTGAGAGCGGAGAGGCAGGATTGAAAGTTTTGGGGGGACATCGAAGTGTAACAGAGAGACCCCCTTCCCGGGACATCGGCTTCGGTGTCGTGCTCGTGTCGTGCGCGCGGCCGGAAGCGAAGCTGCGTGGGCCGGCGAGAGGACTGAACCCTCCTCTGGCTAGGGCCTCCAGGGCCAAAAGACCGCCCCCTCCCCCCAGGTTGTCCAGCGGTGGCCGGGGTTGTCCCGATAATGTCCCGATGGTGTCCCGATGGTGTCCTGTGGTGTCGCGTGGTGTCCCGTTGTGTCCTGCGGTGTCCTGATGATGTTGTTCCGATGGTGGCGTCGTGGTGGTGTCCCGCCGGTGTCCCGATGGTGTTCCGATGCTGTCCCGATGCTGTCCTGATGCTATCCCGTGGTGTCCCGTGCTGTCCCGCGATGTCCCGATGGTGTTCCAATTGTGTCGTGGTGGTGTCCCACTGGTGTCCCGATGGTGTCCCGATAGTGAGCCGATGGTGTCCTGGTGGCGTGCCGATGGTGTCTGGATGGTGTCCCGTGGTGTCCCGCGGTGACGTGATGGTGTTCCGATGGTATTTTGTTGGTGTCCCGATGGTTTCTTGATGATGCCCCGGTACTGTCTCGATGGTGTCTCGATGGTGTCTTGGTGGTGTTCTGATGGTTTCTTGGTGGTGTCCCGATTGTTTTCCCGCTGGTGTCCCAGTGGTGTCCCGATGGTTTCTTGGTGGTGTCCCGATGCTGTCACGATCGTATCTCCTGGTGCCCCGTGGTGTCCCGCGGTCTCGTGATGATGTCCCGATGGTTTTTTGATGGTGTCCCGATGTTTTCTTGGTGGTGTCAGGGCGCCCTTCAGAGCCCAAGAGGAGGCCGAAGTAAGTGCACCTTCTCCCCCCCCCCCTCCATGGATCGCCCCTCCTGTAAGGGGACGCCCAAGCCCCCCCTATATGCCAAACACGCGGAGGGAGGCAGGGCCTCCTCCTTCCACCTCGACCTTCTCCCTCCTCGCCTCCCCCCACCCCCTCCCCACACCGCCCCGTGCCGAAGAGGAGGACGGGAGGCCCCTCGCCCCACCGAGAGGTGATCCTGTCCAGCCGCGGCGGAGGGCGCGAACGCTCGAGGTCGCCGCCGCGGGCGGCCAGCGGGAGCCTGTGGAGATCTATATGCCTTCCCCTCCAG